ATTCCATTTGTTTCCTATGTTGGGATTCCATCATGTTCCTCAACTTCTCCCTATATTTATTAATCATGTCTTGTACTATGAGCACAATCCCTGCTGCTATCTGAGAAATTATTTCTGATTTTATTTTTTCCAAATCCTTTTTTTGCCAGTTCAAGGAGTCCAGGTGGTTGAGTATCAGAGTGTTCCATCTCCTTTCCCTTTGGGATTGCTGTAGGTGATCTGCAAGTCTGTTTTTGTGACTTGTTTACGTGTCTTCTCATTTTAACTGGGGGGGGGGTTCCTGTTGGTGCCCAGGTGGCTCACCTCCTCTGCACTGGGAATGGTGTCACAGTGGTCAGAAACCTCCTCCTCTGTGCAGCGAGCAGTGCTATGGCAGCCCGGATGCCTCCTCCTCTGCATGGGAGCAGTGCTATGGCAGCCCAGAAGCCCCCTCATCTGCTTGGGGAGTGGTGCTACTGTGGCCTGTAAGCCTCTTCCTCTGTGTCTGTGTCTTTTGTTTGGGAAATTGAGACCATTCATATTGGAAGTTATTATTGAGAGGTATTGACTTATTCCTGTCAATGTAATTATTTTGTATTGCTACTTTTCTTTTTTTGTTTTTTTTCCTTTTGCTTATTTGTTCATCCTGCCAGTTGTACTCATTATTTTTTACTTATTGGCATTACTGGCTTCATTGTCTCTCTAGGATATTCTTGAGAATTTTTTGTAATGCTGGATTGGTGGTCATGAATTTCTTGAGGTGTTTCTTGTCATGGAAATATCTTATTTGTTCATCAATTTTGAAAGAAACATTTGCCGGATACATGAGTAGGGGTTAGGAGTTGTCATTTTTTAGGGCTTGCAACACTTCATTCCAAGCCCTCCTGGCTTTTAAGATTTGTGTGGAGAAGCCTGTTGTGATTCTAATAGGTTTACCTTTATATGTGATTTCTTGGCTTTCCCAAATAGCTTTTAAGATTTTGTCCTTGTGATGGACTTCTGGTACTTTGAGTATAATGTGGCATAGATTGGTGGTCTTTGGGTTATGCTTTTTGGGGTTTCTATATACCTCACTTACCCATATGTTTATTTCTTTCCCTATATTTAGGAAGTTTTCCACCATTATCCCTGAAAACAGATTTTTTTATGTCATTTGTGTTGTTTTCTGACTTTTTACTTATTCTAATTCCTCTTAGATTAGTCTGCTTTGAATCATCTGACAGCTGTTGGATCCAACTTTCATGCTCTACTGTTGCTTTTAAAGCGTTTTTATTTAGTTAGTCTTTGAAGGCATCATTGTTTTCTAGTTTTGCAATTCTGTCCTCACATGTGGGAGACCACTCTATTGATTATGCTCAAAGCAGGCTGTAAGCAGTACAGGCTGTAAAGAGTTAACCCCACAACTGGCTTGTTCTGATAAGTGAGTTTGGCCAAAGCCTACGTGCTGAGGTCAAAGTGAATCTTACCCAAATTCTGTTCCCAGAGTTGAAACCTTTACTAAAAAGGCAAGGTTAATTATTAACCACAACTTATATTTTGTCTTTTCTTTTCCTAATTCAAGAATGTTTTGTCTTTGCCTTTATAAGCATTGCCTGCAAAAATATCTATAGCAACTGCATGACTGCACATTCTTACACTTAGTTCCCCTTTAACCCAATCTGATTACCAGTAAAAATCAATGGCTTGGACTGACCAGTCCCTTTACTGGTTGAGCAGCACTGACTATCCTGGCTCCCCATGTCTCTGTCTCTTTAGTTCTGTCTTTTAGTTTTTCTTTCAACCTTGCACTGTAGCACCAACCAAATTGGAACCCACTGCAGGCACCTCTGAGCCTCACATTGTTCACTTCTGCTACCCATACTTTCAGTATAATTTTTAATCTGGATTTCTGATTGAAGTCTTTTCATTCTTTGCTAAACTGGTTATTTGTGGTTTGTATCATTATCTTGTAAAAATTTTTTTGGTACTGGGGAGTTAACGGGTCCTTGTGCTTGCAAAGCAAGTGGAAGAACCACTGAGCTAAATCCCTGGCCTTTGTATCATTTTCTTTAGCTCATCCAGCTTTTATTAGTCTTCTGAAAGCTTTTGAATTATTTTGGTTATTATTCCTGTTATCTGTTTAGTTACATCTTCTGTGATCTCACTGAGTACCTCCTTGATCTGTTTTCTTTTTTTTATTGTGGTACCAGGGATCAAACTCAGGACCTTGAGCTTCCCAGGCGGTGCAACACCACTGAGCTACATCCCTGGCAATCTGTTTTCTAACCTCTTCTGTTATCCTTTCAAGTAATTTGGGTGTGTGGCTTATCTATTCTGTCTCTTCATGCCTTGTAGATTGGTTTTGGAGGTGTTGAGAGTTTTGGGAGGTATCTGTCTTCTCATGCTTGTATTCATTTGCTTGCTTGTTTGTCTGTGTTGATGTTTGTGGGTGCTTATACTGTAAAGATTTTGTTGCTAATAGAGGTCTCTTTAGTTACTTTTGAGTGATGTACTTTAGGCATGGTTAAGTATGTCTTTGCCTCAGCCCCAAGATCTGACCAGCTTGGTTACTTTGGGAGGGGAGGATGCAGTATAATTAGCCCAGCAACTAAGTTATCTGGGAATGTACTCTAGTATGGTTAAGGTAACAAATATAATCTGCATGTTATCTTATAGATAAATACTGACAACTGCATGACCCTGGTAATATCAAACAAATCAGCAGAAGCCGTATTCTCCAAGACATACTGGATATTAACATACCATAAGAATGAATTATGTGCCACACTTAACTCTAGGGAAGAAATCTATAATTATGATGTAAACATTAAGACAACCCAGGTATTGACTTACAGCTTATATATAATAAATGTGACAGCTATGTCTCCACTAATGGGAGAAAAGAATTCAACAATAATTTTACAGAGTTAACTATCAAAAGGTTAACCAAGTTTTATGCTTATATTATTAAAGATAGGGCTGGGGATTTAGCTCAGTGGTTCTGCCACCTACCTCACAAGTGCAAGGTCCCAAGTTCGATCCCTGGTACCAAAAAAAAAACAAAAAACAAAAAAAAGATATAGGATTTGCTAATGGAGGAATGCAAGAGAAAAAATATTAAACCTTAAACTATATGATATGAAAAGAAGGAGAGAGAAAAGTGTTATAGAGGATCTTATTGGAGTTGAAGGATATTTATAGAATTAGGTAAAGGTAAGAAAAAAATGATGAGAAATAGAAGGTAAAAGAAAAGAGGGAGAAAAAAGAAATTATATAGGGAGTAAAAATAAGAGAGAAAAAATAAAGGAAGAAGAAAAAGTAATGAAGGAAGGACAAAGGAAAATTCCCCAGTCCCCTATAAACTAGTAAGAAGAAAGGAGGAAAGGAAATGAAATAAGAGAAAAAGAAAAACAAATACAAAACAAAACAAAAAAATCTAATAACACACACTAGCAAAAAAGAAAGAAAAAATTTCTCTGTGATTTCAAAAGTGGTTTTTTTAATGGGATCTACAATTTTGGGGTAGTGTCCAAGTCAAGACATATCCCTGCTCATGCTGGTAGATAAAGAAGGCAAACAGATACTAGATCTGTGCTGGATGCAAGCACCAGCAGGCAATAGGATTATGGTGAGGACACCAATGCTGCAACTTTCAAATCCAGAGGAATTCAGGCTCAGCCTGACTGCTGGCCATGGGTGCAGGGCTTAAACCCTTCAAGGGGTCTCTTTCTAGCCTGACCATGGCTCCTTGACCACAGTTGTCTACCATGACTCTCTCACCCAGCCACTGTGGAAATGTAACAAAGGGAGCTCTAAATTGAAGCCATTCCATGGGTGCTCTGAGTTCTGGTTCAAATGATCAACCACTTCCCAAGAATGATGTCTGATGAAGCACTCTCTCCAGAGGATATGACAGGTGCATGGACTAGAGTCACTCAACAGCTGTTGCCTGTTGAAGGACTCACATGGGACCAGAGTTCTGCACTCTTTCTGCAGCTCACTGGTCCGTCCCACTGGTCCATTCAACTGGTTCTTCCACTGCTACCTTCCTCCCTGAAGCTCTCTGAGTCCCTGGCATACACCTTTTTTAGATTTTTGTATGAAACAAAGAAAAGTTTATAATCAAATAAAAAGAGAATAGCAATAATTATTACACTGTGTATCATTATCTTCAAAGTAGTTATTCAGAATACAAAACATAAAGCTGAAAGTCTTACAAAAAAGAAACAAATAGATAATACTAATCTCTCTTTTAATGAACTAAGATAAACTAGTAGTACAATTGAACCTAATTAGCATATATATTGAAATATTTCTAAAACAATGGGAATTTGTAATTTGGAGTATATGAACTTCTCCCTTTGTCTCTGTAGATTCAGTCTTCCTTTGCAATAAGCCATAAGCCAGGAGCTGGGGACAAAGTGCAGATTGATCCTTCCCTTTTCTGCATTATGTTCTATCTCTGCAATTACTCTCTAGGTTTTAATTTTCTATCAGATTCTTCTTGGTTCCTGGGGATCTACTTCTCTTTTTTTTTTCCTCTTCCCTAAGCTATTTTCCAGTGTCTAGATTCCAGATCATGAAGAGACTGAGTTGTTATTGTTTATCACTCCACAATTTTCTATAAAGGCCCTCAACTTGATGTCTTGAATCAGAGTGCTCATCTTTCATGGTCATTTTAACTATTTGGGAAGGGTCAGAAATTGTACAATACTAGATCCATGAATAAGTTTGATGAGGACACACCATGAAGTTTTTTATGAGCTGGCCATTCCATGGGATGTTACTCAACAACAGTGTTCACTGTATTTTTTTAATCACAACTAGTAAGACCCATGTGAAAGAGGACTTTCTGAAAGTGGCATAATTATGGGATAAGTGTTCCAGGAGGGAGGGTATATTGGAGTGGAAGAAATAGAAATGTGACTTTCACTGTAATAATTGGTTTTTTTAATTTAAATATTCACCATATATTTTGATCACCCCTAGTCAATATTAATAAATAAAATATCATGTCTCATTTTTCAAATATTTCTCCTTTGCTAAGAAAATATTTTTCTGTTCAAAGTTTTCCTCAAAGCAATTTTGACATCTTTATTCCTCAAGCTATAGATTAATGGATTTAACATAGGTACTACAATGGTATAGAACAGGGAAGACACTTTCCCTTGACCAAGAGGCATAATAGATGGTGGTTTAGGATACATGAAAGCCCCAGAACCAAAAAACAGAGAAACCACAATCACATGGGAGCTGCAGGTACTAAAGGCTTTGGATCTACCCTCTGTGGAACTGATGTGAAGAATGTTAGACAAGATGAGGGTGTAAGAAAGGAAGATGGTGGCAATGGGTATTCCAATAACAATGGCCACAATAATAAAGACTACAAGTGCATGTGCATAAGTGTTGTTACAGGAGAGCTCAAGGAGGGGAAGGATGTCACACATGAAATGATTGACAAGGTTTTCAGAGCAGAAGGTCAGGCTCATTATGCTTCCTGTGTGGATAATAGCCCCAGCAAAGCCCATCCCATAGGCACCTAACAAGAGGAGAAAACACATCTGGGAAAACATGGTGACTGTGTACACTAGTGGGTTACAAATGGCAACATAACGGTCATATGCCATTGCTGAAAGAACAAAAGACTCAGAAATGACAAAGAAGCAGAAGAAAAAGAGCTGAGTCATGCACCCAGCATAGAAGATAATGTTCTTCTTTGAGATAAAACTCATCTGCATTTTGGGGGTGATGGTAGTGGAGTAAGATAAATCAATTATGGAGAGGTTGAAGAGGAAGAAGTACATGGGAGTGTGCAGGTAAGAGTTCAGCCCTATCAGGAGGATCAAGCTCAGGTTCCCAAGAACTGTGACCAGATAGAAACCTAGAAACAGGAAGAAGAGGGGCAGCTGAAGTTCTGGCTTGTCCGTTAAGCCTGTGAGGATGAACTCTGTCACAGAAGAGTTCCTGGCTGCCATTCTCTCTTGAGTGTGATCTATGTGGTCAAGAAAAGAGGATCACTTGGAAACAACCATTAAGATAATCTTTCTATATCTATTCATTATTCTTGAAAAAAGGAATCCACAAAGACAGATTTGAACTTTGGTTGGAAGACTTTTTCCCTTTGCTATGGGTAGAAGCAAACTAACAGAAACTTCGACTTCCAGGCTAAACATTACTTTCAGAAGAAGAGCTAGTGCTGCTCAAAAATGTGGTACTATAACCAGCTTGGTGTCTTTTATACTTTGAAGTCAGTCCCTTTACTATCTCCTTCCCTCCTCTGCCTCTGTTTCAGTTACTGCTCCTGGACCACTTCCCTGTCCCAAAAGGCAGAAGTCACTGTAGCTCTGGTGCAGTGCTGTAAGATGAAAAAGGTGAGGCTGTATTCTTGTTGTTTTAAATTTGGCATCTTAAATTAAAGGTACTTTTGTTTGTGTTTTTCCAAGGTCTCAGTTCTAGTGGCTGCAGTGTTAATAATATTTTTGAAAGCTAAAATTAGTTTAGAGCTTACTTTGAAAAGCTCTGTTCTAAGAGCTATGTGACAATCATTATCCTCATTTTACCAATAAGACAACTGATATTGAAGAACTGACTCAAAATGATAAAATTGAAAAAAGAGATTCAACCCAAATTAGACCTTCAGCAGTCCTACTCACACAATATTACATGACTGACCAGATTCAAGCAAGCACTCACCTTCGTTTATTTAGAACTGTAACAATATGCAGCACTCAACTGTCTCTTGTCTGGTTTCCCTGGGGAGGATAAAGACCTGGTAAATAGAAGACAATAGCTTCAAGCTCAGCCTAGATGAACAAATTCAAACTTCTCATTTACCTTGTAAAACTCTCTTCACTGAAGAATGAAACTTATAGTTGTTAATTTACCCAAGACACCCCCTCCCACCCCACTTCCAGAAAAGAGACAGTACCTGTTCTGACCTATGGATAAAAGGGGAACAAGGGACTGGAGATGTAACTCAGTGGCATCTCGCCTGCCTAGCAAGCACAAGGTCCTGAGTTCCATCCCCAGTACTGCAAAAGAGAAGAAGAAGAAGGAGGAGGAGGAGGAGGAGGAGGAGGAAGAAGAAGAAGAAGAAGAAGAAGAAGAAGAAGAAGAAGAAGAAGAAGAAGAAGAAGAAGAAGAAGGA